TCCCCTCCGCCAGCTCTGCTTCCCGCCCCTACCCTCCCTTCCTCCTGGGCAGCTCTGCTCCCTTTGTGGCCGGTTCCTCCTCCTGCCCCTGATCAAGTGTGTCCGTTTTTTTTTTTTTAAGACTACCTGGTAACCGTAGCCGCAGGGGGCAGGGCGGGTACCCGAGCCGTTGTGCATGTGGGGGTGGGGCAAGTCTCGGACGGCATTGGAGGACGCAGGCGGCGGCCACATGACCTAGAGTGGGCGGGGCTGCCCCTGCAGCGCAGCTGGTTATTTTTTATTTTTACAGGTTGAGATCGGGCCCAATCAGGTCTAAAAGTACTTAAAACCTTCTCCTGGAGGAAAGGTTATCCCTTGGAAAGTTTGGTTGTGCTAGGTAGTGTGCAAGTTATTAGAGCACAAACATTCTCCTTTCTATATTAGATTCTAACAACAAAAAAAGTGGAAACAGGAGATGGTAGTTACATTTCTTAAATCCATTTCTAATCTAATAGTATGCTTGGACTGTGATTTCCTGAAAGCACCTGTAAAAATATTTTATATGTTCTCAATTCTAGTAGACTTTTGGAGTAACTCGTGATGGGGTCTGTATAATAACCACTCCAGTCATGATGGTCTTTATTAGCTAGTAATGGAAATTATGGAAGCATTATTATTTGCTTGAGTTATTACCCCAAGTTGCAATGGATGGGGACTTGCAGTGCTTCAGAAGAGTGAACCTCACTTATGATAAACAAGCCTTGAAGTACAATATTACTGAGTAATTCGGTCCACATAGAATGCGTGTGTGACTTGGGCTATTGTATTTGCCTTTTAGTTTCATTCGTGTTATAGAAGAAATCTGAAATGCTGCAGAATTTGAAAATTTAATAACTTATCCACTTCTGGTATTTTGTACATCACGGCCTTATGTAATTAACAGTATTATAGTAAAATGCAGAAGTTTGCCAAATGAGCATAAGCTAACCAGAAGAGCAAAACTGTACCGTGATGTGAGCCTTTTCTAAATGTACCCAAAGGGACATCCTTTGCAATGCTATCCTAGGTCTGACCTGTTCTCCATTTCTGTAGGGAATGAATAGGCATCCTCACCAGTACTTCTCTGAGGTGTGTGTGTGTGTGTGTGTGTGTGTGCATGCAGCAGATGAAGTTGGGCAAATAACCATTAAGCAAGTAAAAGAACAAAATGTAGGAGAATACTCTGGACTTCATTTTTTGGTCATTTTACTTTTTGCATTTGCACTTTTTTCAGTGTGTTTTATCACTGCCTTTTGAGTCACTCAGCAGTGAGGATACAATTAGTAATGTCGCCTTCCCTCTCCCTTTCTCTCTTGCGCAATTTACGTAAATGTTCATATATAGACCTGCATCTTCCCTGCTATTGTTTATACTACGTCCCACTAGGCAGAATGATTAAGATGACTGTACTGAGGCCTAAAATATATTCTGAAGGCCCTGGTAATCAGGTATTAGCATCCACACACGAGGGTCTCACAACCAGAGATTATTCGGTTGCTTCAGCTATGACATTATGCCATTTACTGAAAACCAGATGCTCTCATTGAAATGTCTGCCTTTCATAGGTGGCTAGGTGCTCTAAATAATTCTGCTGCCCACCAAACAAGCAGGATCAGTGCTTGTTTTCCTGATCCCTTATAAATTCTCCTGCCTCAACCATGTTGGGATTTGTTACAGATTTTGTGGACTAAATGATTATTTTCTGTAGCTAAGAGTAGGGGTTCCATTATTGGGTGAGATGAGCATCTTGATGCAACACAGATATGATTGACTGATATACCAATAGATCTGCTTATAATTACAGAACAGGCTGCAGGAGAAACAAGGACAGTACAGCTAGTTAAACAGAAGGATTTTCTTCCTTCTGAAAGCATGCATCTCCTGTGTTTGTCTTCCAGTGAGCCGGCAGCTGGCAAACCGCATTGAACAGTTTTTGGAAACTAAAGGTTTACAGTACTACATGAAGAGTATCAACTGCATTAGAGTTTTCAGAGAGGAGGCCATTAAGGTAACGGTAAAATGTGAAAACTCTACTGTATATCAAATGTCAGAGCAAGATGTGCAGATCTACTACGTTAAAAATTTCAACAATTGTGATCTGAGTCAATTATAGCACACTGGAAATTGTAAAATGATTTGAATGTTGTTTCAGTCCTTTGGGGATGGAGTAAGGACTGAAATGTGAAAAAACAATACCTGTGACCTAGTTGTTGAAAAGGCGAAATGTGCCGTCCTCCAAATATCATCTTAAGCAAAACTACAGGCAGTCCCCGGGTTACGTACAAGATAGGGACTGTAGGTTTGTTCTTAAGTTGAATCTGTATGCAAGTCAGAACTGGCGTCAGCCGCTGCTGAAACTGATCAGTTACAACC